TCCATAATTTGTTATGATCCACACAGTCGAATGCCTTTGCATAGTCAATAAAACACAGGTAAACATCTTTCTGGTATTCTCTGCTTTCAGCCAGGATCTGTCTGACATTAGCAATGATATTTCTGGTTCCACGTCCTTTTGTGATTCCAGCGTGAATTTCTGGTAGTTCCCTGCTGATATACTGCTACAGACGCTTTTGAATGACCTTCAGCAAAATTTTACTTGCATGTGATATTAAAGATATTGTTCAATAATTTCTGCATTCAGTTGGATCACCTTTTTTTGGAATAGGCATAAATATGGATCTCTTCCAGTTGGTTGGCCAGGTAGCTGTCTTTCAAATTTCTTGGCATAGACAAGTTAGCACTTCTAGCGCTGCATCCATTTGTTGAAACATCTCAATTGGTGTTCCATCAATTCCTGGAGCCTTGTTTTTTGCCAATGCCTTCAGTGCAGCTTGGACTTCTTCCTGCAGTACCATCGGTTCCTGATCATACGCTATCTCCCAAAATGGTTGAATGTCGACCAATTCTTTTTGGTACAGTGATTCTATAGACCCTATAGACCTGTTTAATCTTTGGCTGAAGGGTAAACCTTAGGAGTAACGTCAGTACTTAGTTAAAAGGTGTCCAGGGGCCTTACTTTCAGAATTTCTCCAGTCTTTCTCAGACCAGCAAGCCTGGTGTTTTTGTGTGTGTGTGTGAATTTGAATTTTTTACATTTTTCTCCCACTCTGCCTGAGACCCTCTATTGTAATCCCTGTCAGAGCAGTCATTGGTGGTAGCCGGGTACCATCTAGTTGTTCTGAGCTCAGTCTGGTGGAGGTTGTGGCAGTTGTGATCCATTAGTCCTTTGGGCTAATCTTTCCCTTGTGTCTTTGGTCTTCTTCATTCTCCTTTGCTCCAGTTGGAATGGGACCAGTAGATGTAAAAACATGGAGTGCTTCACAAATGTACACATCATCCTTGCACAGGGACCATGCTAGTCTTCTCCGTATCTTTCCAATTTTAGTATATCTGCTGCCGAAGCAAGCACAGAATACTGTTAGCTTTGACAGGAAACTTGAGCATATTCATAAACTTGCAAATAAAAATAGAAATTTATAAATTTTAGAATTATTTTTCAAATAAGAGGGACTCAGAGCTGAGTTTACCAAACCTCAGCTTTTCCCCAAACACCTTTAGATGTTGTCATAACTGAGTATGATTTTTACCTAATATTTTCCTTTAAATCAGTGGTTTTTAACAGCGGTAATTTTGTCCCCCAGGAGACATTTGGCAATGTCTGGAAACATTTTTGTTTGTCATAACTGGGGAAGGGGAGGTACTGGCATCTAGTGGATACAGGCCAGGGATACTGCTAAACATCCTACAATGCACAGAACTGCACCTCCCCCCACCCCCCCACAACAATGAATTATCCAGCCCAAAATGCCAGCAGTGCAAAAACTGAGAAATCTTGATTTAAATAAACCCAGTTTCTTTTAAACTTCGTAATAGCTAATACTTATTGAGCAACAGGCGTCCTGGTGGCGCAGTGGTTAATCAACTGTTCAAATCCACCAGCCACTCCTTGGAAACCCTATGGGCAGTTCTACTCTTACCAGAGGGTCGCTATGAGTCAAAATAGACTCGATGGCAACAGGTTTTATTGAGCAACAGTATATTATAAATATTGTTCTAAGAGCATGATATGCAATATCTCATTGAATCCACACATCAGCCTTATGTGGTGCAGGTTGGGCAACTTTTTGTTTTGTTATACTCACTGATGAGTCAGTGCTGACTTGACACATGGCAACTACCAACAACAACACAAATGAGGAAACAGAATTAATTAACTTGTTCAAGGTCAAACATCTAGTAAGTAGCTGAATTTGGGTAGTATGATGCTAGAGCTCTTGAGCTTAACAAATAAAAACCCACTGCCATTGAGTCAGTTCGGACTCATAGGGACCCTTTAGGACAGAGTAGAACTGCCCCATAGGGTTTCCAAGGAGTGGCTGGTGGATTTGAACTGCTAACCTTTTGGTTAGCAGCTGAACTCTTAACCACTGCACCACTAGGTCTCTGAGCTTAACAAATAGGCTATTCTTTATATCACTGCTATAAATGGAAACCAGTATCTCAGGTCTAATGTGGAAGAGAAACATAAAAATAGATACAATAAGAGCAAGATGTTATTAAGTTCTAGATAGATATTGTTGCCTGCTGAAGTCTCTAGGTCTAAAGTCTGTGCTCTGTGGGTCACTAAGTATTAGAGAGGTGCTGAAGGCATACTAGGTCCCTGAGTGGTGCAAATGGTTTGTACTGGACTACTAACCTAAAGGCTAGTGGTTCAAACTCATCCAGCACCATGGAAGAAAGGCCTGGCAATATGCTTTCATAACGATTATAGCCAAGAAAACCCTAGGGAGCAGTTCTACTCTGTAACACATGGAGTTGCCAAGAATCAGAATCACTTGACAGCAACAGGTTTGGTTTTAAAGACCTAGTACCAGAAAACCAAGACTTTCTTCTTGATATAATCAGAAGAACTGAAATAAATATAAAAAGGAATAACTTTCCTAATTATTTAATATTATAATGCTAACTAACTTAAAATCCCAACTCTTAAATAACATAAAGCCCTGGGATGGTTTAATTTTTCCTGAATTTGATAGATCTGGGTTCAAATTCTGGATCCACTACTTCCTATTGGGGCTGTAGTAGATTTGATTTAATTTCCTCATCCATAGAAGTGAAACAACAGAATCTGCTTCATAGGGTTGTCATGAGGATTAAGTGAGATGTAGTCTTGTAAGATTACTGGCAGAAAATTACATAGCAGAAAATAATTATTAGTTTCTCTCATATCCTGAAGATTCTATGGTCTCTTTCCAGTACTGGCTTAGATTTGCACATGCTTCCGTGATGATTCAAGCTCTGTATGGGCCATGGCAGGTAAGGCAGCTACAGTTGGCCCCTGGGTATCACAGGGAACAAAAAGTGGCTTTCAGTCTTATCCAGAGTAACCACATAGGCCTCCTGGGAGGAACCTGCCGTTTGAGCCATGCTTTGTAGTCTGGCGAGGGTTGTTGATGATCCAGGCTAGATTTATGGAGATTACAAGCATGAAGGCCTTGTGACAGAGACTCTGATAGATGACCCAAGTTCCTGGGGGCTGCCAGAGGGAAGGAGGAGGCAGGGGACAAAGGGGAAGCTTTGTTCCTAACAACAGAGTAATGGTTCCATTTTAATTTCCTTACACACATGTATACACACAAAAACACACATACTTGCTCTATTTGGCCATACAGTCACTGAGTTTATGGCTAAACATTGTATTTTAAATTTTCAGAGTACCTCCAATAGGATTGGATTTGTGATTCTGTTCGAGTTCAGATGAGCAATGGAACTATTTTCTACTTAGATGTCAGAAAGTCTTTTGTCTTTATGCTGTGATTTCAAAATTTCTTTTCTACTTGATTCCTGATACTTTACTATTATTATTATTATTATTATTTATTTAGACATTAACAACGCTTGAGACTTTCATGCCGTAATTTGGAATAATTAAAATGCAAATACAACTAGAGAGTTAATACATTGACTTAAATTCAGAATTATCTTCTTCCTACTAGAATGTAAGCTTCTTGAGATCATGGACTTTGTATTGTACCCTACTATATGAGTCTGAATCAACTTGACTGACAGCATTGGTTTATATCCGTGGTGCTTAGATAAGTAACTGGCATATAGTTGGTGCTCAATAAAAATTTATTGAATACTAAAGTATAAATGGCTGATAGCAGTCAACATTTCCTTTGCCTATACATGTCTTTTTTTCATGCCTCTGGGCTTTACACGTGTTGCATCCTCTTTCTGCAATGCCCTCTCTTTGCCTTTTACTCCTCCATCACCTTCTTCCTCACCTGGAGAAAGTCTACTTACCTTTTAAGACTCTGCTTATATGTTACTTCTTTGGTAAAACTCTTCCTGATATTCATCTCCCTTCTCAAATTAAGTTATATTCTTTCACCAGTTAGACTCCTGTAGCCCTTTGCATATATTCTTGTTAAAAGAGGAATCATCTTGTGCTGTAATTATTTGTTTATACACCAGTCTCTACCATTAGACAGTGAAACCCTTGAGGGTGGTGATGGACGTTGTCTAATTCTCTTGTATCCTCACCCTTTGCATGGTGCCTGGTTTATGGTAGATCTTCAATAAATGTTACTGATCGACCCATTGACTAAATCTTGCAAATGGTCCTTTATCCTGCAAGGCTCCAGGAAGGTCTTAGATAAATAGGAGTGCTTTACAAGATAACTTCTTTTAAAAGCCCTGTTTTGAGTAGGAAATCTTCCTGCTCACTATGGTTTTGTTTTGCTGAGTCCTTTGATTCTGTACTAAAAAAGAAATGATTAGTGTGGAAACACAGAATACGGCTTATAAACAAGGGATTTGGAAATAGCTGGTCAAATTTCAAGCTGGGATTGATTACCTTAGTCTTCTGTGGATGCTTCCTGGTTACTCTGATACCATGGAGATCTCAAGAACAATGGTGTTTTGGGGGGTGGAGGATTGGAATATTTCTCCTGAGGAAAAACAAATAGTTTGGCTATCTGGGACCAAATTCCTGTTGCTGCAGGGCAGGGGAAGTATGTCATGTAAAGCAGTATCTCACGTCTCTAGCTATAAGAGGATTGTGGTTTGCTTAGGTTGTTATAGTTGTGACTATGACAACTATGAAAAATATTAGAAGAGATGCCAAGAAGAGGGTGTGGTAATGGTCACGGGCAAGAGAGAACAAATGGCCAACACTAGGGACTACCTAATGTTCCTGGGGGTGCCTGCAGCCCAGTAGCTGTACGGGCAGGGATTCAAGATCAGATATTTAAAGATTTGACTTCCACATTTTGTTAATTACATTGATGCAAGCCCTACACTGCTCAAAATTGATCCATTTCATGCATCCAGCCTGCTCTATCTCACTCATTGGAAGGGAGTGCAGTAGGGAGAAGCAGCCTAAGTGCCTAGGGGCTGTAGCTCTTGAGAACGGGCACTGTTTAATTAAGACAACTGTGAAGTTCTGTGGGTGAAAGTAACAGCTGCTGATTCCTGGGATATTTTTAAATTGTACCCAGTTGGGATACTCTCTGTGTCTATATACGGTCCTCCACACTAAAGGACCTTGTGGAGGTGGAAGGGCAAGAAACATAGACTCCTTGAAAACTACATTATCACCTCTTAATCCCTGACAGCACATCAGCAGCCTGCTCCCTGGGAAACTTCAGCAAGGTTAAAAGTTAAGCCGTTCATCTGACAAACCAGCAGTGATTTCTCCATCTCCCCCACATTGTTGCTAGGCTTTTCTGAGATTGAAGGAGAGACTTATTTGTTTAGTTCCGGTATACTTTTAAGCTGCTTAGTTACCACCTCTTGTGCACAATACGCACTACAGGCAAACAAACTTTTAAGAGCACAGCAGATTGAAGCAGCAAGCTAGCCTAGCAGATTGAGCCCCCTGAGCCCATGTGCTATGTGCAGCAAAGCAAAACACAGCTGGCAGAGTTAATTTTAGGCTTTCCAACCTTGGCAATGTCCTATCATTTGGGAAAAACAGCTTTGAATAGACTTAAAAAGAACCCTCACTCCTTCTCTCTATGCAGATTACTGGAAAAGTGGCTACCTGGTTTAAGTTTAATGGGAAAAACAACTACTCATGGGCAGGGGTAAACTTGACAGATCAAGAAATTCAATCCAACAGTTATTGAGCAAGCACAGGTCCATGCAAGAAATCTTTTATAACTTTTGTCCTATGGACTAAGATCTTCCACATTATACTTTAAGTAGCACCTTCCGAAAATTTCTAAAAGATTGGCTTCTCAAAAGAAAAAAATCAATTTCTATATTTTGGTGCTACAAAATACCCAAAGTGGGTTGGCAATGATGAGTGAGGTAATAGAAGTCTATTAAAAAAATGCTGTATATAAATGTAACAAGAATTAAAATGCAAGGAAAACATATCAATGATCATGAAAATGGCG